TGTTAAGTTCTTTGAACTTGCTGGCTTGGCCTGGGCTCTTCCCTCTGTGCTGGTGCACTCCAGCAGCGAGTGTTGGTGCAGGAGAGCTCAGCCCATTAATCCTGAGGGACAGGCAGCTCTTGGGCAGGGTTACTGGTGGCCTCTGACCAGTGGCAGGACTGGGAGCCACAGGAGGACCCAGCCAGCTGAAAGGGTTGTGTGGCTGGCTTGCTCTGGGTCTCAGCATCATGCCCAGCCCGCTCCCATGTGGACAGGGTGCTTGGAGCCAAGCTTTCTCTGTGACCTAATTGCATTTGCAGGACTGCAACCACCCAGGAGTGAGCGTGGGGAGTTAGAGGTGGAATTCAAACAATCTAAAATCAGGAGTACAACAGCATCTGGGCCTAATGCCATGGGGCTTTTCTCCAGTATGCATTTGCCTTAGGAGTAATTGGGAGTTAGATCTTCCTTCTGTATGTAATTTTTTCTTAATATGAAGGCATGATTTCTCTCCTTTCATTAAGAAGTTGTTGAATTTTCCTGAAGTGGAAAATTCACTTCCTTGAAGTCTTGATACACATTTTCTTTGTTTTTTACTGAGTGTAATAATGACCAGTGGACTCCAGATGCTCATCCTTTGTCAGGGACAAGAAGAAACAAGGAGGAAACTAGCTGATTTTTTAAAAGAAATACCATTTCCAGGGAACGCTTCCAGAAGCATTTTATAGCACAGGGGAGGAGAATGTATCCCTCTTGTCCAATCTTTCCCTATCTTCTCTAGCCTGAGACACAAAAGGAAAGTGTGCCATTCTGAACAGACTGATGTAATATCTATGGGCAGGAAGGAAGATCCAAGGAATTACAGGTTTGTCAGCTTCACCTCAGTACCTTGAGAGATGATGAAGAAAATCCTCTTAGAAAGCATTTCCAAACACATGAAGGACAAGAAGGTGATCAGGAGTAGTCAACATGCATTTACAAAGGGGAAGTGATGCTTGACCAGCCTTACTGCTTTTTGTAATGAGATGTCTAGCTTGGTGGACAAGGGAAGAGTGATGGATGTGGTTTACCTTGATCTTGGTAAGGTTCTAGTGTCCCATAACATCCTCACAGACAAGCTGACAGGGTATGGGTTAGAGAAGTGGGCAGGGAGATGGATTTAAAACTGAACAACCCAGCCCAGAAGGTTGTGCTCAGTGGTACAAGGCCCAGTTGGAGGCCAGTCACTCGTGGTGTACCTCAGGGGTCCATACTGGGACCAGCACTGTTCCACATCTTCATTAATGACCTGCATGATGATGCAGAGTGCGCTCCTGAGAAGTTTGTAGGTGATGAAAAACCTGGGAGGAGTGGCTGATGAGCCAGGGGATTGTGCTGCCATAGAGAGGGACCTTGGCAGTCTGGAGAGAAAGGAGTCTCATCAAGTTCCACACAGAGAAATGCCAAGTCCTGTATCTGGAGATATTTGAGGGTAAGCCCCTGCACCAGTACACCCTGGAGGTTGGAAAGCAGCTCTCCAGAGAAGACCTTGGGATCTTGGGGGACAACACAATGACCATGAGCCAACCATGTGCTTTTGTGGTGACAGTGGCCAACAATTTCCTGGGCTGCTTTGGGAATAAGACCACATTGGGAAAGAAAAAATTGTTTCGTTTTTTTGGTAGATCTGAGTTAACTTCTAATCAGAATAGGATTTAGACTTGGGAAGGTGTGTCAGTGCCATTCAGGAGGCAGATTGTGAGGATGTGGTTACCTCATCTTCAGCTCCAAGTAGGGAAGAGAATGCAGGTTCTGTAAAAGTCTTGCAGGCTCTGTTAAATATCTGGTCCAAAGGAGGGTCAAGAAGTGGGATCATTTAAGCTGATTGACTTGCATGAAACAGAATAAATGTGGAACTTTATTTAAATCCAGAAATCCCTCATTGGGGTTGATTAATGCATGTGGTCTTTATTTTGTTCTTAGAAACCAGAAAGCACTTAGATGATAGTACCCTGCAATGTGTCCCTCACCCCTTTTGTAATGCAGGTCTGGAGCCCAGGTGTATATTGTGGAGCACACCAAAATTTTCTCGTGAGACTGACCATCACTTGGCCTGTACTTGTGGTCACACTGCCTTGCTGGCTATGGGTTACCTCTGTGTTGCTGTCATGACCTGTGAAGTGCTATATTGAAATGGAAATAGCAGTGCTCTGGATTTTTTTTTTTTTGTTGTTGTGCCTCCAGTTTTTATTTTCAGGGTGTATAAACCTGCTCCCTTGAGCACAGATGCATAAAGAACACTCATAACATTTGATCACTTCAGTGCTTTGCCATTCATTTCTCTCAATCTGTGCCACAGACTGACTTTTGAGATAGATGTTCAACTATATCCCAGACAGTTACATATTTATGACTTTATCACTCACTTCTCTGGAAACCAGGATCCCAGGGGGGGAAAAGGTACAGTCATCACCTGGTATATCATGATAAACAAGTATCTGGTGAAGGAACTTCAATATTTGTCAGTTTCAAAGAACAAGTGATATTGTGTGGCTCTGTAACTTGTATTTGTTAGCATTCTTTTTTTAACAGGTGAGTGTTAAACTCTGACTGTGTCTGCAGGCAATAGAGTGTGGCAGATGGGGACAGCTTTATATAGAGTTGTTGAGAGTGTCCCCTCTGCACCTGTCCTGTGAAACAGAATCAGGTGCCTGTGAACCGAGGACACTCTTTAGAATTCTCCTGTTGCAAGATTTATGCTAAGAAAGTAAATCTTTGAAAGAAGTATCCCTTGCCATGCAGTGGTTTCTTCCTGTCTGTGTGTTGAGGCACATCTAAATTCAAAGAAGGGAGAATCTTTACTAATTGGATTTGGAGTTGTTTTAGTCATGAAGAACTGTTGGAAGTGGAAAGCATGTTTGTTCAAATCTACAGTTTTGCCCTGTCAGGAGATGAGCAGATTCTTCATTGGTACCATGTATCTTCTTATTTCTGAGGATTGTGACACCTCAGATGTACTTTCTGTCCTTGGATGACTCACATTCTTCTTTATGCTTCTCAATTTTTTATATCTTTTAACTGAAAAGAAAAATACTGCTATGCTTCCATGAAATTGAAAGAACTGGGTCCAGCTCAAACTAAAGGTTATTTTCCAATGCTTTTTATTATTTGGATGGTGGTTGTACTTCAGGAGTTCAGTCCTCCTCCTAATTCCTTGTACACTGCAAAAAAACCTGCTAAAGTTAATTGTTCACGTATTAAATGAGCCAGTGGGCAGATTTAATATTTCTGTGAATTAACAATTCCTTCTTGATTTTTATAGTGTAATTGAAACTGGGAACTGATTATTGTGAAGACACATAAATAAGGGAAACTTCTTCTAGCCTTTGGTGGTTAGAGGACATCCCGCCTTTATCCAAGAGCAAGGCTCAGTGCTTGCTGTGACTTGTTGTTGAGTCCTCCTATAGAACAAAATTTCATTAAATTTAGTTTTAAATTATGGAAATATTAGCTGTGTCTTGCATCACTTCGAGTGTGCTCCTGGCTTATGGGGTGATTATCTCCTTCTGACTCTTCAGGTTATTTTTATTATTATTTAAGTTATTATTATTATTCAGTGGCTAAGCCATTTTACTCTGCTTACCTGACATTAAGATTCAGAGAGCAGGGCTCACTTACAGGGCTAATGTCAGCTCCTTGGACTGCCACAGTAAATATAATGGAGCTGGACCAGGTCTGACAACAGCTCAGCCAATTGTGTGGGAAGGAATCTGGAGCACTGACTTTTTTCTCTGGAGCCACCGTTTTGAGGTGGTTCACTGTCAAGACATTGATGTGGCTGTTTGGAAGGAGTTTGGTGAAGGTGGCAGGTCCTTTTGAGGTTTGTACATACAGACCTTTTGGTTGCCCTTGTACACACGTATATTTAGCCTGTCCACTCAGAACTGAGCAGGTGAAACTGGGCTAACACTTAGGGAGAATCTAAGCTATGCTGCTTGGGTGTTGGGGTTGGGTTTTTTTCTCTTTTAATCTTAATGAAATTGTTCTGATAATGAATGCAGTTGGTTAGGAGTTTGGAAGGTGAGTGTGCAGGAAAGAATGGTGCAGTCTTGAAGTGCTGGCTTCCTCAGATAATTTTTTAATGTGTGGGAGAAACACTTATAATGTGAATCATTACAGCTTCTGGCTGAATTTGGATGAACTAAAAATTACAGTGGCTGAAAGCATGCATTGACTGAGTCTGTAATAAAGAAATATTTTACTATATTCTTGGTAGATATATTTTGATCACCAGCTTAGCCAGGCTGATGGAAGCAGCAAGATTAGTAAAATAAACAAGTAGCTTTAGATTAAAGAAAAAAAGGAAATAAATAACTTTTGTCCTTAGCAAGCCTACAGCTGAAAGAAGTTGTACAATAATGCTTTATAGTTTTATGTGGCAGTGTTAACTTATAAAAGTTTTGAGGGTGAGGTGAATTAAATCAGTTCCTCCAAATGTTTGTCTTATTTACTCTGATACTGCCTTACGGTCCCCTAATACTTCTGCTCTGTAGGTGGCAGAAAAGGAAGAGTAAAACTGTTAGCTCAGTCCTCTGATTGTGCATGTGAGAAATGTCACTGAACAAACGTGAAGGACGTGTTCATGGACACCTCAATCTTCACAGCTTTCAGTGGACGCCTTCTGAAAATCTCTGGGCTTGCTTCAGATGCTTCAGTCACTGGTGCAACTCCAGGGATTCAGTTCCATTTCTCTATTTGACACTTCTTCTGTTGAACATAGAAACATCTTCAAGCTGAGTTCTTCAGACTGAAACTGCTGTTTTCCTTCTGGCCATTGCCCCTTTCACCAGGGGGTTGCTTCAGCTCATTTATCAGCTAATTATAAAACATTATTATCATGCTTGTTGCTTTGTCCTCCATGTGGTTGGGACCATCCCATTTACATGTTTTGTTTCTAAGTGCCATTTTGTTGTGCTTAAAATCATGTCCACGACCCTCTGAGCACCACAGTGAACACCTTGAATGTGCCTTTTGTCTTCCAGATCTCACTGCTGATTGGATTCATCAGCGTGAATAACTCTCCATGGACAGATTACAGTGCATACAGCTTCTTTCAGATTGTCACCATGTGCGACTTGGTTATGATTTTGTTCTTCTACATCATGCACATTTTCAGAGTCTACAGGAAGCTGACTTGTGTTAGCTGGCCACTGGCGGTAAGCCTGGGTTCCTCTCTTCTCTTGGGGCTTGATGGGGCTTTCTCAGTGCGTTCCCTTGTGCTCTCTCACAAAGATAGACTGTCTTTCACTCCTTTTTGCCTCATATGCAAGTCCTTTTGTTGATTGTATTCAGTCCAGCAGATTGTGTAACTGTAAGATTTTCAGCTGATTTGGATTTGATTCTGCCCTCCTTTACACAGACATAAATCTAGATTTACTGCATGAAGGCAATAATTTTACTAAGAGGCAATCGAAAGGAAGCTACTGATCGTCAAGGCTTCAGCAGATGGGTCCTAGCTCAGGTCATTTATAGCAGCTCAGGGATTGCTAAAGTACCAAATCATAGCTTTAGAATTCATGCACTACATCCTGTCCCAAAATAAAGTCTGTGAGTGCTATTTTAATCATATGTACCTCTTTTTGGTATGTTTTAGGTAACTTAAACAATAGCAAAAAATAGTAGCCTCAGCCTGATTGCCACAGCCTGGCTACTCCTGGGATATCCTGCAGGATGTTCCTGCCTCATTTCCACATTTCCCATACATATCCATCTCTCATATCCTAGCAGAGAACCCACAGGCTGCACCAAAAATGTGAGACCTGAACTTCCTCAATAGCTCTGGCTCAGGTCAGCTAACAGAAGAGTTCCACATCCTGGTGTGGGATGATGGATTTTCACCACCTCTTAGAACCTGCCTCCCTTACATATGTTAGTTCCACTGAAGAAGGACCAAAGGAGTGGGAAAAGCCAACTGGAGGGATAGAAAGGAATTTTTAAACCCAAGAAGTTTAAACCCAAGGTGGTGGTTAATGGAAGCTATGTAAGTAATTTACAGATCTACGGTAACAGTTTGTCCATCCATCCACTTATAACCAGAGAGAAAAATTTCTTTTTCTTTTTAGATTAAGAATATGGTTAGACTTTTTTTTTCAAATGTGTGCCACCACTATCTGTTTCTAAAGGTACTTATTTATCTAGAGATAGTACAGATGCAGGGATTGAAATAAAGGAGTGAAGTAAGCTAATAAATGACAGTTTTGCAGAGCAGCATTTAATGTGTGCATTGCTGTAACAGGTCTGTGCTATTTTTGCCTCTGCATGGGCTGCTTCTGAGTTTGTTTTTTGTTCTGTGTTTAATTATTCCTCAGCGTTCCAGAGTTTAAGGCACTGAAGTTTGTGGCTGCTCAGCTTTAGAAAGCTTTATAGGATGTGGTGCTTGAACATTGCTGCTCTGTTACAAAACAAACAACCTCATTTTCAGTCACATTTAAGTATCTTTAGAACAGAAGAGGAAGATGTGAGAGAGTCTGGGAAACTACAGCTAGCATTTGGATCAGTTTCCTGGCATGATCTTTACATTGCAATCAGGGGTGTGATTTGCAGCCAGTAAAGCTGAAGTGGTTCAAGAGGTTGTTCATTGCTGACACCTTTTAAAGCTTGGAAGTATTTCTCCAGAGGGGCACTCTTCTGGCCCTGCTGGGGCTTGGTTCTCCACCTAATGTGGCCTTTGATGACTCTGTTGCAGCTTTGCCTATCCCTTGGATTCCTGTAAAGTAGTAGCCTGTGTACACTGCTTTATTTGATGTCTCTAAGGAGGCAATGGCATGTCCCATTTGCCTGCTGCGTCATGGGCTAGTCAGAGGAGCCTCCTCATGGATATAATTTATTCTGGCAAATGCAAGGGTTGATATTTTGATTACTCAAAACAAGTTTACAAATTAGGAAAGTAACTTGTGGTCACAGAACCTACTTTACAGGAAAAATCCTCCTCAGCTGTTTTTAAGACCTGAGCAAAGTGAAACTGGTATGGTAGACTGTTCGTCTTCTGGGCTTTCCTTGGACAATTTCCTCTTGGGACTATATTCTATCTTCTGGTTTGAGACAGAATCCTCTCCTCTCCTCTCCTCTCCTCTCCACTCCTCTCCTCAGCTCATGCTGGTAGTACAATGCAGATAAAGGAAGCAGATATCCACATGCCCCACCCCACCATGCACAAGAAACAACCCATTTCAGTGTCCAAACACCTGTACTGGTTGTCATAAGATTTGTGGGGATTCAAAATGGAAATCCACTGATAACCCTTGCTTGTAACAAGGTAAAATTGACTCCTGGACTGATACTTATCACGCCAGAGAAGAGTTTAAATGTGGTGCCTTAGTCCTCTCTCAGAAAACCCCATGGCATCATGCTTTACTGCAGATGTGCTTTTCGAGCCTTCCCTCTCTTCCCTGTGGTTTCCAATCTCAGTTGATGTAAGTTTTTTGTAAATGCAGCAGTAAATCCAGTGCTTACTTCCTAAGATTATCAGAAGTAGGAGCATTTGATTTCCCACTTTTGCCATTTCATAAAGGCTAGAGAAGTATGTCCTTAAGGCTCCTTCCTTCCTCCAGAACCATCTCTTTAGGTAAGGTGCATTCTTGATGCAATGAAGTAATGTACTGGGCTGAACTGAGAGGATTGCATCCAACCCAGTAAGTAAATCCTATTCCAGTCACATTAGTAGACCCAAACTGTTCTTTTTTGAACAGAAACTGAGGCTTGGTATAAAATCCACTCACAAGGTGAGTTGCTGGGTTTTTGTTTTTTGCTTTGTTTTGCTTTGCTTTTTTTTTTTTTCCTTGTTGACTATGTTTTGTCCTCTGGGTTTGAGGGTTTGAGTGAGTCATCTCTGCCAACTTACTTTCTTTCTGAGACGTATCAAAATGCTTTGCAGATATGTTTCCCTTCTGATGCATGCTGTTCTTGTCTTTGCAGGAGTTTCTTCATTACTTAATTGGTACAATTCTGCTTCTCATTGGATCGATTGTAGCAGCAGCCAAGAGTTACAATATAACTGGACTTGTGGCTGGAGCGGTAAGACTGTGTTTATTAGGCTTGACAATTTTAAAGTTGCAATATATATTAATTAGGGTATTGGAAATCTATCACTTGTACCTCTGTTTTCTTACAGACTTGCCTTACTTGTGTCTTGGTTGGGTGAATAACCTTCTAGCTCATTTCAGTGAACGTTCTGTAACACGGTGCCAACAAAAATATTTTGTTGTCAGATGCTGGACTCACCACTAAAGTTGGTATTTGTCCTGCTAGAGCATTGAAACCAAAGGCTTCTGCTTTAACTCACAGTAACTAATGTGTTTAGGTGAAGAATTAAAACAATTAACTTTTGACAAAAGACTGTTGTAGCAGCTGAAAATTACCTAAAGCATTTCACCCCCCTTTTCGGCTTTCAGCGCTTCCTGCTCCTGAACAGAGCCCTGTTCAAGATAATTTCTCCTGAGCTAAAACCCACTGAGGCTCTGAGCTGACTTCTGGCAGGTGCTCTCTGCTTCTCTTGGCTGGAAGGCTTTACAGAGAGAGGCATGACTTCCAAGTGTGGGTGACAGTATTTTCACAGCAGCAGGACCTGAAATACAACTCCTCCAGAATAAAGAATTACTTTCAGAAACTTAGTCCTGACGGTGCAAACAGACGAGGAGACCTACCGGACTTGTTTATTTGGCAGACAGAGGGGAAAGACTTGTTTGAATGGGGCAGTAAAAGAGCAGTAATCAGAGGTGCTAGAAACAGTCTTTGTTGCAGAAACCTAGTGAGAAGTTTAGAACTTGACATTCCATGGTGCTGTCCAGCTTTTTCTCCCTCCTTGTGCATGACTCTCACTCTATCTTTCAGTTTTGACAGGACATAAGCTGCTGTTATACTACAAAAACTTCTGGGCTTTTTAGTCTTTTGCCAGAATGGAGTAAAAAACTCCACTATTTTTTGGGTCTTTTAATCCCGTAAAATGTGTAGCTGAATATACAAGTGTCCATACATGCATGGAATATGTGTCATCTAATGCTCCATAAGTATTTGTTAATCCCATAAAATGTGTAGCTGAATATACAAAAGTGTCCATACATGCATGGAATATGTGTCATCTAATGCTCCATAAGTATTTGTGGTTTGTTTGTTTTCTCATCCAGACTTTCGGGTTCCTGGCTACAATACTTTGTGTTATAAGCATGTGGTCATCCTACAAGGTTTCGTGCATCACACAGTCAACAAGTAAGTATCGTGCTTAGTAACTGCCAGAATGCTTCCCAAAATGAATATTTATATTTTCTGGCACAGGGCTGTGTCTACCTGGAAGAAACTATTAATGCCCTGGTTGTTGTGACTCAGAATTACTCTAAAAGCAATAATTTCAAATTTTGTGTCATCACTAATGTAGTCACAGCTACTGACAGCTGTTAACAAATAACTACAAGAGCAAAATAACTTGCTTCTAGCAAATAATGAACATAGCAATACTTTCTTTTCTCCCTCCCCCACCCCTCACCAAAAGGTTTCCAGTGTGTTGCTTAATAAATTGGATGAATTTGTTTGTGGCAACACAAGTGACACTTGTCTTCCTTTTCAAAGATGCATCTGTGTGACTCCATCACCTGTGCAAGACGTCTGCCTTACAAAACAGGATACCAAAGAGGAGTGTCCACTACTGAGGAGAGAGCCGTGGGTATTTTGTTACTAGCCTGGACAAGCTGGTAGCCTTGGAAGATCTACTTGAATTCCTATGCAAAACAATGTTGTGAACCAAAGTTTTTTTGCTCCCCCCACCCAAAGAAGTTTATAATGGAGAATCTGCTTGTTTCAGAGAAAGACAACTTCTAACTCTCAAGCTGGGCTGTGACATTTCCAGCTATTTGCAATAAGTGTTATTTAAAACTCATTTGGACAGTCATTTGGTTCTCCTTCCAGAGGGATGGAAAAATTTCTTCTGATTTCCTCCATCTGTTTACACAAGGGAAATCCTGCTAATTCCTACCTGATTCTTAACTTCCAAGGATTATATGTTTAACAAATGAACAGTTACAAACTAATTTGTGCCTGGATAAGCTGACCCAAGCATTTGTTACCTCGTTCTATCAGAACTGTGGACTTTTTCTAGCATCTGCTCAGCCAGCATCAAAAATGAACTGTAACTTGAAAACATCATTGCAAGCAATTCCTCCTAACCCCAACAGTACACGATGAAATCAGGGATTTTCTCCATGAATTTTTAGCAAAGATTATTCTTTTAAAATTCCCTTGCCAAATACAGGAAAATATGTGCCCAAGAACATACATTTAATATTTTACGGGGTCTTTTTTTTCCTCTCCTTTTCATAGTAAGACCACTTCTTTAGAAAATTTCTATGCATTTGCTATAAATTATTCACTTTGTAATCTAACAGTGTTTATGCCCATTGTGAATGGAGCAATGTGCTTCTTTCTCTCTCTTACATGTGGTATTGTCACTTCCTCTGCCTCAGCTGGAATCTGAGCTCCTGGGGACTCTGCCCAGAGCCTGGACAGAACAGTTCAGTTTTGTCCAACCTGGTATCATAATGAAATTCTATGTAACTTCAGTGCTGAGACAATGCCTTCTTGGCACCTTTGTCTTTCCTTTTGTAATCCATCTCTGGTGAGCTGGGAATTCTTGCAGGAAAAAAGGAAGCATGGGCCTCTCTTCCTCTTTGGTGCTTCTATCATGTCTAGCTGTGAAGTAGAACTTGGTTTATTCTGTCAGGATAACTGCATGATGGTGCAGCAGCAGTTGGGTTTATACAGTTTACCAGGGACAGTCTGAAGAAAAAAGCATTTTCTGGCCTCCTATATATTCTTCTATTTGTCTGAAATTGTGCATCAATACTGCTAAGTAATTTAGTGGTTCTCTGAGAAAATTCTTTTTGTGCCTCATGGCAGGTCAACATATATTGCTATTTGTTGCCACTTTTTTTTTCCATCTAATATATGTATCTTTACTTAGAATTTATGTTTAATTCTGACAACAGAAAATTGACCAACTGCTAAAATGTCAGAAATGTTGAGTAAGTAAATGAAAATAGAGAACTTGAAGAGGTAAGAATCCCCCTCATCATGGTGCACAGTTTCTGTGATTCTTTTTGCTATTCTTTTTCAAAAGTGTCCTGTTTATAGCAACACCGAGCAGCAAACAATTCAAAAGGACAAAATTCTGGTTTTAGTGGATGAAGGTACATACATTCACTCCAAGATAAAGTGCTTCAATATTCATACAGAGGACTATTCAATTAAGCTATATAACAGGCAGGTATATTCTTACTGATTTCATATTGGCTATTTCTTATTTTTCTACAATGTTCAACTTCTGCCCCCTACCTTCAGATGATGTGTTTTGTGTTTAGTCAGGAATGAGCCATTTTTTTTCTTTCTAACAACCAGAATTGAGCATAGCTCAAAGGCTGTCTGCCTTAAGAGAACAAACATTCTTCTCAGCTGGGAATCCATTTTCAGCAGCATCAGTGATAGCTCAGCCTTCCTTGTGCTGCCAGCACAGGACCAGTCAAATGGCCTTATGTGACAAGAAATTCATTCTGGGCACTTTGAGGGAAAATACCTGCAGAAGAAGGTACTCTCTCACACACACACACACACACATGTGTGTCTAATTTTTTGCAGCAGAGGTGCTTGATCACCAGTCCTCCTGCCAAATCTGACTTTCAGTTTTTGGAAACCAGCACTCTGACTTTAATTTGGACTGATATGACAGATGTTTAAGGATACAACCTCTCCTGTTCCCCTAGAAGGAAAAGACTGTGTTATTTCTCCCTCACCTCCTGAGGTATCACTGACATTGACAGTAGGAACCTTCCCACAGGCACTAAGCCCACTTGGCAGTCCTGTGGCAAGCAGTGTTCTGCTGCAGACAGTGTGAGTGCAGCTGAGACCTCAGCACTGCACTGGCAGTGGGGACAAGCACCTGCTAAGGACTGGGGCTGGGGCCTGAGCTTGCTCTGCAGAAAAGGCTGTTTCCACTTTCTCCTGGAACCATGCCCCTTCTCCTGGCACTGTACTAGCTTTTTTTTTTCAGCCTCTCACATCACTCTGTCACTTGTCACCATATGGAGAAAAAAAAGTCAAGGGGAATTTCATGCAGTCTAACAACCAAAGAATTTCTGAACTATGTTCTGTGATCATCCAAAGAATATGTTTTGCTGTAAGTGCACTTACTTATACAGATCAAGAGATGTAAGTTACCAGTTCCCTTTTTGGTTTTTGTGCCTACTGACTGGGCTAAAATATTCCTGCAGCTTTGGCTGTTGTGACAGTGCTGGGTCCACAGACCCACCAGATGCTCCTAATCAGGATGCTCTCAGGCTGGAAGACTGACATCTCTGCTGCCAAAGTTTCCTTGCTTTTCCCAAATCCTCCTTGTGAAGCATGTCTACCAAGAAAAGCACAGATTTTCTGTTATCACCAGCTCCACCGGGGCTTGTTGAATGACAGCTCCGTCTGGCAGGGAATTCAACACCTCTCTGCTGTACCTCTGCCAGCAAAAGTGTTTTAAGTCTCCTTCAGTGTCAACCTGGTTCTGAAAGCTCATCTGTCTGCAACTTTGTCAAATGTGGGATTCCAGCTGTTTTAGAAATAAACTCTGTTAGCTGTTTGGGTGATGTGGAGAATCAGACTGTTGTCCTGGTCATTTTTTCCCTTCTTCTACCACAGCAGTGGCTTTCTCCCAGGGGAGTATCAGAATACATCCTGTACCTGGAGCAAAATAGGTAAGAGCCACAGAAACGGCTCTCTAATGGAGATAGTTGGATGTGCTCCAACTATCCCACCCAATAGTTGTCCATCCTCTTCAGCTCCAAGACAAGTGTAGTTTATCCTTTGAGCTAACACAAAGCTTGACATTCAGTTTTTACTGAAAAATTAAAATGTAAATGTTGGGAGAAGAAAATTGGTAGTACAAACTGTTTCATACTGTGAAAAAACTGAAACCTCATGTTTGAGCTCAGGGGACTTGAGATAAGCTAGAGAGTGAATGGTACTTTTGTCAGATAGAAACCAGGAAAATGAGAAGGGGAAATGAAACTTTTAAAAAAGAGGAAGAGTGGCTTGAAAATCTTGAGGACCACAGTGCTGGATGAAGACACTTCAGGTTATGTGACCTGCGTAACTTGCACAATTTTCTGCTGCTGAGAATTGGTTGCACTGTTTGGAAACAGTTCACTATGTGGGGTTTAAAGGGGGTAGCAGGACACCAGGATAATGATAACTTGTAAGGAAGTGTGTGTGTGGTGGTGGGGTGCTCCATGGAAGAGGACTAGGAGCTTTCTAGGACAAAAAGGAGCAGGAGAGAAGGAAGATCAGGTGCAAACATCCATAGAAAGCTCATGAGGGGTAACTAATGTGGGTGCCTTGTGCACTAACAGAAGTGGTGACAGATATTAACAGTTTCTGTGCTGGTTATTAAAGGGCAGATCTGCCTGGAGTGACAGAGAAGTCTCTTTACTGCTTGCCTGCACTTTGTGTCAGGGATTTTCCTGTTCTGCCAAAGCTGTGAGGGGATGCACGAGACCTGACCACAGGCTGTGGAACATGGCATCAAGTTGCCATATGCTCTGCCCTGTTTCACTTACAGTTGCTGTGCTGAGAGACAGCATGGAGCCACATGGTGCTGCTGAGGCTGTGTGCTGGCCAGGGCCCTTGGCCATCCCTGCAGCTTGGGCAAAGTATGGACCTACTTTTAGACTGAGTGCCATCAGAAAGCCAAGGAAAGCTGGATTTGGGTATCTCTGGGCCCTGCCGAGCATCCTGGAGGTGCTGGTGGTTGTGTGAGCCAGGGAGAAGTGGGGACCAGAGAAAGGGAGGCCCACATCCTGTTCTTTCTGCCTCCAGAGGTTTACACACAGATAGCAGGAGAGAGCCCTCACCACAAAGCTCCAGGGTGCTCTTAAGCAACCCACCTGTTTGGGCTGTTTCAAGTTTCACACTGGAGCAAGTGCAAGTGCCATTCCCTTGGCTTACCCTTCACTCCTCTGCAGACACACAGAGCTGCACACTTGGGAAGCCATCCTGTTGGGAACAAGTGGCTCTTGGTTCCAGGCCCTGATCCCAGGGCTTTTTTAACCCTGCTAAACCCTGCTAACCCTAGCAGGTCAGAAAGTGGCACTAGTACTTGTTATCTCCCTCTCCTGGAGAAGAACAATTACTTTTTTCCAGCACAACAGCAGCTGGAAAACAGGAAAAGAATGATGTCCTTTCTAGAGGTCACTGATTACCCACAGCAGGCTACTCCAGAGTTTATTTCTGTTCTGCCTGTCCCTGAGCCCAGTCCATCAGCCTCAGCTGGTCCCCTGGGTCAGCACGCTGGTTTCTCACGGCCAATATGGCAAATACACATTTGGTGTTTGTTACTAGGGACTGATCAACATTAGCAGCGGGTTCCCAGCATCCCAGAGCTTGCACAAAATAAAAAAAATAAAGGGCCATATTTCTAATTAACTGATTATTCATCCTCTTGTTATCTCATATCTGCACTAGTCTACTGTGTGAATGACTTGCCAATTTATTAAGGATCAAACAAGCCCTCATCACGTGCCTGAACCAGTCCCTCTGCCTTAGGGCAGTTGGAAAAAAAAAAAAAATCTGTCTGCTTTTTGCCCTTTACCAAACCTCTGCCTGAGCTGTGCTAATAGTGAAAGTGAAGCTGTCTGGCCATGCCCACAAGCAGCACTTCACAGGTAGGAAGATTGAAAGTTAGGAAAAAAAAAAAAAAAAGAAAAACCAAGAGAAGAAGAAAACAATAATTAGAAGAGTTGCAGCATCACAGGAGTTACCTGCCTCAGGGATGAGGTGGCTGCCAAGACGAGCTTTTAGTTTTACAGGGAGGCACAATTTAGATACCAAAATCCTTGGCATTGTTCTGGCTTAGTGCTGTGAAAGCTTGGCTTTAAGACTCCACTGTTGAATAGTCAAAGGCCCAATTTGACTGTGGCTGCTTGTACTGTGCTGCAGGGAGAGCAGCATGATAGGGAGGACTCATGAAAAGGAGGCTGTGAGGGACCTTGGCTTTTTGTGTGGTGATGGTGAGGAATGAGGGCAGAGCTCAAAGAGAAAGTGCAGATGAAGGAGCTAAAATCAAGGGGTCACTGCAGAGTAGCAGCACTACTGACCTTTCCTTAGGGAACAGCTCAGAACGGTGCTGTTCCTTGGATTAATATTTTTATATCACTTCCTAAGCATAACACCACCTCCAGCAGCACCTGGTCTTTCCATATTGCTGAACTACAGCCTTACAGAAAGGCACATTAGTATTTTAAAAAGCAGTTTTGTCACTGGGTAAATGCTGGCTCTCAGCTGAGACGTGTGTTTGGGTGAAGTATGTCCTTCAGGGCACTAGGCAGCCATAAAGGCCTGAACTTTTGAAGCAGAAAAAAAGGATTAGGGCATAGATAAATTTGCTTCAATTAATACTAATTTTTGATATTCCTGGCTTGGACTGATTTGAATTCAGAGTGCCCAAGACTGTGTAAATTTAATTTATTGCTCTTTAGATGTTTGCAGACCTAGAATAACAGCAAGACACAAAGCAACCACTTGAAAGGAATAAACTGCAGCCTCTGAAGCCCAAGCCAAAGAGCCACTGTCGTGCCCTCCTCACGGTGACAAGTCCTGCCTGCAGTGTGATGTAACCCAGGAATGCCCAGGTGTCCTGGTGCCAACACTTGGTGCTGCAAAGTCCCCAGGTCACTCTGCCTGGCCCTGCAATGATTTCAGCCCTGCCTGGTGCACAGAGGCACTGTCACATCTGTCACTTCAGAGCCGTTCTCCCAGGGGACTCCAGACAGCTGGGGCCATGCAAAGGCAGGCAGGCAACTGTGCAGCAAGCCAGGCACCTGGGAAGGAGGAGAAGAAAAGGAGCGGGCCGAGTGCTCTGTGCTTGCATGTGTGGGTATGTGTAGAAAAACAGTCCTGTGGGGGGTGAAGGAAGCACCTGTGTGTTTCTGTGGGCACTGAAGGGGCTCCCAGAAAGACAAGGAGAGCACAGCAGCTCTTGAGGCAGAGCTGGCGTGTGTGTGAATGACGTGGCAGCCACGCAGCGTGGTGGGGCATTCCTCCCCGCAGAGGGGAATATCCCCAGGCCACTGATGGAGAGTCATTGCTAAATTAAGTATGTCTGAGCTGCTTGTTATTTTCTTACATGTTTGCACTTGTGTAGGAAGAGCAACACCGACAGGCAGCCCTCTTAGCACAGAAGGAATTGTAACAAGAAGGAGCTGGAAAGTGGGGAAGAAAACTCCGTAGGTGTAGACTTTAGGCATATAACCCCTCGGCATACGAGGTCAGACTAGGAAATTAGAAACAGCACTCATTCTGCACTACTTTTACAGCTCAGAGACTAAATATCATTGTCCCAGGACAAAGCACAGTGTATCTTGGAGACCATTTGCATGGGACTAGCCTTAATACTCAGCCATTCTCCCCTGGACATCTGATGAAGGAAGAGAAGGGCAAGAGTGAATCATAGCAGCGAGTCAGAGTGCAGGAGTTACCCTTCCCCTCTGATTCACCTTCTAGATGTGCCTCTTCCTCCATCAGCTACCAGTGCAGCTTGGCCTCAGCTGGAACATCTCAGGTGGAGCTGAGGAGACACTGCTTTTGCTTTCCCATGTGCAGCTGGGGCAACACTCACCTTTTACTTCTAGCACTTGTATCTCAGCACATAACAGAGCTGGTGCTGTAGCTGGGTGGATGGAAAGGGACCAGGCTAGGGGTTTGATACCACCTCAAATCCTGTATCTAGCCAAAAGCACCCATTTGCAGCTTCCTTCTATTACATCTGCAAGCCAGCTGTGATGGTAGGGTATGATTCCCCCCCTCCCCCTGCCAACACATACAATTACACTAACACAACTTTCCTTTATGATTATTGGGGGTTAGATGAGGTGGACTGGTGCTGGAGGCTTTATACCACCACTAGTAAGAATTACAGCCCTGCTGGTGTAACAGCTCCTTTTACATCAGAAATGCTTTTTCTGTCTAGCATAGTCTACTGTTATTGCTACATCTGTAAATCACTCTTAACATAAAGCTTAATGATCTGCATCCCCCTTTTCCATGAACCCCTGCCAAACAAGAGCACAATGCTGCAGCTGTAGCTATTAAGCTATGGTGGCAGCAAAGCACTCCATTAATACCTCATGCTCAGCAGTTTGTGATGCATGAGAGCTGAATAATTATGCTCTTGTTACCCTCAAATGAGATGCACAATTGCCAGAAACAAGCGTTTACAATTTAAAAAAAACCCCAAAACTGTATCAAGTCAAGGACAACATTGGTTCATTCATAAAACAAGCCTTTCTGAACAAAAGGACGATGAGGCAGAAAACAGGCTTACGTTAATGAGCCAGTTGTTTCTAGAGCTGTATTGTACCCTCTCAGAAAGGCCTCCACAGCCTCTTTATCCCAGCTGTTTTGAGAAACTAGCAGGCAGAGATTTAGCCAAAGCTCTGGTTGCTATGAGTTGCACTGATAGGGAGGTTTAGTTTAGGTTTGAGGTACAGGAATGGGAAGCAGGGATTTAGCAATGTGAGTATCAAAACCCAGTGCTCTGAAGCATTTGAAACTGAGCAGGCAGACAAAGGAGACTGAAAATGGGTGTTAATGAAAATAGGAGTGATGAGTCTGTCCTCTTGCTGAGGATACCTTTCTGCTCACATCAGGACAGCAGCTCCACACCTTTGGTTAGTGGAGTGCAGAGACCACAGAACAATTAAGTAACTGTCCCTTCCTCACTTAGACCTCAACACGAGCAGGGATTTCAGAATCTTGTCTGCACTGATATTTCTGGGAGAGGAACAGCTGGTGCAAAGGAAGTAGTTAAAAGGAGAGCTGTGGTGCAGACAGGCTTGCATTATTTTGAGCAACATTGCACCGTTCTCTAAGCAAGGGTAGAGCATATGGTAACAGAAAAGTTGTCATCCTTTTTGTCTTACCATGTTATGCTTCCTGTAAGTCCAAGTGAGGACTAAAAAGAGAGCTCTGACATACAGCCCAAGCTTAGCATTGCAGAATAGTGCCTGCCTCCATGCAGCACATCAAGCAGGGCATACCTGACAGGGGATTTGCTGTCCCCATCTGGCTGTGCTTGCATCATGCTGCAGAAGAATGTGTTTGTGCTGTCACCTCCTCATGAAGCCTTACTCTCACCTCAGGACTTGCTAACTTCAAAACAGCCAAGTCTGGTTCATTTTCCCACCAATAATTCAGCCAAGAGATAATAGGTCATAAGAAACAAACAAACTGAGTAAGTGATCAGGGCACGTGGGCTGGGCAAAGCAAGTTTCAATGGGATGCCTGGAGAGGACTGGAACTGCAAGTCCCATCTGGCATGCTTTACAGCTATGGTTGCCAGCACTTCTGTTTGTGGGCCCTGATTTTTTTCCAGCATGCATAATTTGCATTTTTGGATAATAAGCTTCCCTCATTTAACTTCTTAAGAGTCCAGGAAATGCACAGGTACGCCCCACTCCATTCCTCTCCCACCTGTGATCCACAGAGCTTTCATTGAAAACCACAGCATAGTACAGACCACAAAGTTCTCTAAGACTGCAGTACAGTGTTTTAAGTGCAGGTGCTGTCATGCAGCTGAAGCTCGACTTGAATTTTTAAAAACATTTATCGGCAGGTTACAAAACACAAGTAATGCAAGTAAAACCCTTTCAAACTGCTCAGGCAAAGTACTTCCCTGAGACAATACTGATGAGATTATATGCCAAAAATACTTCAAGCTACATACTGAGAAATAAGAAAATTAATGGAAAGAGTATCCCTAAAATGCACAGTTCAATTTATAGCCACATTGACAATAGAGGGACGTGGGGGCTTCAATCCCACTGGAAATACAGGTGGGGAGAGGACGGAGTCCTTCAGACCAAGTAATTTCAATCCCAGGATCATCTTTGCCCTCTTGTGGACAACCTTCCCTCCTGCAGCTCCTCGGCAGGTTCCTGTGCAGACGGCAGGAACAAGGCAAAATGAATTTCTGCCCTTCCCTGTGCTTCCTTCCGCGGGCTAAGAATAGGCATGCCGAATCCAAGGGGCAGCCACACCCCAAGCCCAGCCAAGCAGTGACCCCCCTTGGCTCCTGCACGACCGCAGCTGTGTGAGAGAGCAGGTGGCTGGTGCTGCTCCTCCCTGGAAGGAGAAAAGCCATCCCAAAGCAAGGAAACACATCTGTGCCTTGACCGAGGGATGCACAGACAGGGTGACCAGGTGGTGCCCGTGCAGTCACAAGGGACAGCTGTGGGCTACCAGCCCGTATTCTGCCCTGCTGCACTACATTCTGTCATTTACAGTGAACCAGCCTGGATTAGGCTCCTGAGTAGGGGGCTGTCGTGATTCTGGCAATAACATGACTTAAACTGTGTGGTCAAGCTTCAAATTACTAAATCTAGTATTTCTGAGTTATTCTCTCATAGTGTAAAATCCACCACTGACATACCTTTCTAATACAACATCTTGCCTTGATTGTTTTCTTGCATCTAAGTAATTAAAAGTATTTGAGACCTTTTTCCCTTTTGAGTCCTTACAATTACACTCATCCGTGGCAACTTCATCAAAGAGACAATTTCATCTTTAAAATGATTTCATCTTTACATGTTACAAAATAAAGAAAAGCATACTGTGGCATTCCAGTTTCTGTGCCAACAATGAAGGAAGCGTCATTCTCCTCCTGTGTACAAGATGGCCACCAGGTAATAAGTAATCTGCAGGGCTATGAAACAAAAAAGTTCTCCCCTGCCAAAAAGCAAAACATGAAGGTTTGTTTCCTTTTCCTCACCCCCCTACCACTGACAATCAGCCAAACAATTTTTTAAAGATCAAGCAGCTCTCCCTCAACCAAGGAAGTCAGTGATCTGCATTTTTCTACACCAGAATAAATTATTTGCTCTCAACACCTTTTGCTAGGTTGTGCTCCTTCCTTTAGCAAGTTTGCCCCTTTATTTTTTCAGTTCCATGTAATCAAGACAATAGGAAGCAGCACCTGATTATTCTTCTCACAGTAACTTATAGACCACATGTAAAAGCTACTGCAAACTACTTAGGCTGGACCCTGTGGTCAGGGGCAATACTGACCTTATCAGATCTTTCTTCCTGGGAACTTCTAGTGAGAATATCCAGCCAGTTGGACCCTCTTCCCCAGGAACAGGCAAACACAATGCAAGTTCTTTCCTCCAAACCAGGAACAAAAGAATGATGTTATTTCCTATGGCTGGTTTTGGGAGAAGTACATAGCAACACCAAATCATAGCAGCAAAAACAAGAAACACTTATTTACTAAATCTTTATTTAAAAAATTATTACAAAATATTTTAGAAAGTTTCTTAGATCGAGAAAACATAATGTATTAAAAAAGATCACAGGTTTAGAATGATAAAAAACTATTTAAGCATTGAAAAATTGTTTAGATGAAAATTCAAGGCAACACTGGAAACTATAAAATTCTTGTTTTATATATATAAAATTAATGTATTATCATCCTGCTTTAATAATAATTAAAAATCACTTAAATTCTTAATGGTATTAAAAGTGACATATAACTCTGTTCAGCATAAAATTTAATATCCAGAGAGCTGCTTATGTTTACAGCAATAGACTAAAAAAAAGATGAATTTCCATCCACAGGGCACTATCAGAATCTTTATTTGCTACAATTTTATAGAACCTTTGAAACTTTTCACTAAGAATTTCTCTTCCATTTAGAAAGCTTGGTATTTTATTGCACCAATTTGAACGAGGATCACCATGACAGCCATCATGCAAAACCATCTTGTGCTGAGCTCTGAGAATTGTGTGAGAACACCCACTGCTCTTTCAGGTTGGAAGGTGCAAAGGTAGAACTCACCTGTAACAGACCACAACCCTTCCCTGCTCTTTTCAAGCACAGGATACAGGCAGTAAGGCACAATTCCTTCCCATACTCAGAACCAAAGGGCACTGGCAGCACTGTGATTTTAACGTGGGCTAAACATCAAACACAAAAATTAACACTCACAATCTACACAATGCCCAGTACAGATCTTCAGAGCAGAAGTTCACAGTCCAGCCACTGGACAAGTCCTCATGTATCCTGAAAAATCCTCTCCACTGATTCTCAAGGCACTGCAAAAAAGCCTTGAAAGTGGCTGCAGAGCCTTAACCTTGACAGCTTCAGCTGGAAAACACCAAAGCTGAGTGTCCAAGAAGGTTCCAACACCACTGCCAAGCACTGTGGTGAAGAATGGAGAAGACAATCCCCAGATGTACTGGGCCCGCTGCTTCTTTCCAAAAGGGTTTACCACAGGTTATGATGTACAGAGATGTTCACTTTGCAAACAGAAGAAATTTGAGGCAGTTGTATCTAACAGCATTTCTGCCAGAGCCTCTATCACTCTCCTGAACAACCCGTAATCTGCTTAAGCCAAAGTCAACCACCTTAATGGAAGCAATTTAAATAGGTGGTTTAAATAAGGTTGGCTGATTTAATCAGAAGCAGGTTGGGAAACAAGCAAAGGGCTTTGCTGTCAAGAGCACGAGGGGTAAGAGGCATCCAGCCATGCACACAGAGCTCCTGCAGAACCAGACATTAATCCAGCTCCAACAGCATTCTCTAGGATCAGCCTAATTAAGAGACAGACATTTACAGCCAGCACCTGACACCAGAGGCATCAAAGGGGCATGTCAAGACTGCAGACAAGTCTGCTCAGTCACTGCAGCAAGGAAGCCTCTCCCCCACCTAGACTGGGAGGGCAGAGGACATAGGAGTGATAAGGAAAGCTAGGATATAGGAAGCTGATAAAGCAGTTAATAAAATAACCTCACAAAAGCAGAAAACAGCACACGCGCGCGCAAATCTGCTCCTCAACTATTTCAAAACAGCAAAAACACCTTACGAGGTGCAAGGATTAACAGCACTGTCATGCATGTTAGCCAACAACTGGTTTGGAAGCAACATTTTAGGCAACTGACTTAAACCTATAACCATTCTGTGACTGGCTCCTAGTATTTAACTACTGTGTGACAGACTATGCCCAGGTAAACTGCCAAGGCCAGGAGATGACTTTACAGATCCCTTTCTGTATCTCCAGGAATGGACATCAGTAGCACATCACTTAAGTGGGGAAAAGCCTATAGAAAAAAAACCCCAGACATCGCTTAACTTATCTTCAGGCTGAGAAAAATAACAGGAGAAATTACCTCAAGATAAAAGTCCATTCACAGTGCTGCATTGCTTAATAAATACTTAGCAGCACAGTGTTGCTTTTACACTATATTTACAGCTACCAATTACAGATGAAAATTTAAAGAATACAGACATTTTGGCGTGGAAAAGATTCAGCAGGAGTCTAGGCAATAAAAAGAAACCAAAACAAAACTGTTGGAATGTTACTTATATGGGCATGGTCCCCAGAGTAAGACACTGCAGGTCATAGAGGAGGTAATTCTCATTATGAATATTTTGCATCACCAGTAACACTGCTTGTAAACCAAACATCTCTCATCTACCCAGTTATCAGAGATAGCTACAGCAAGCAGTGATTGAAATCAGATTTCAGTGCAAACAGACACTAATAAATACATGAAAAAAAAAATAAAGCCAGTCTAAAGAGCATTTCTTCTTTACAACACAGAAAATTCTATGAAGGAAAGTATCTCTTCTATGCATAATTCTAAAACCGAGCTGTGGCTTTAACTTGGTGCTTCACACCACCTGGCAAAATTTGGCATCCTCCAAGCAAAGTGTAGTGTTAGGCTTAAGTCTCAGGCCACAGAGAGAGAGAACATCACAAAATCACACTCATCAGAAAGTGGCAGCAATGGGAAAAAACCCAAATTTTGTCTTGCTATTACAGTCCTTTGTCTTAAAACAGCTTCCTCTTCCTTTCCTAAATACAGCTCCCTCTTCCTTTCCTAAATACAGCTCAGCCAGTTTCTGCAGGGCCTGGTCTCATGCTAGCACAACAGGTTTCAGGACTGGGAACACGCCAGGTTGGGATATCGGCGAAATGCAGTTAACGCCTGGGAGACAGCAAATGTCTCAAGCACTCAATCAGGTTTTTCTCATTTGCTTTGGTATTTTGGAACATCTCCTGGCTTACAGTAATTTGCTCTGCTTTTGAAAGCTTTCCTCTTAAGAGAGGCATAGCAGATTTGCTTTTACCTCAGACAACAGAAAAATGCTTTTTCAGCACTTCATTTCTTTTACAGCCATCAACATCTGGTCTGACACATCCGTCACTCGTCTGATGTGTCCCATCAGTAGTGTTCCTTGGAGTCCTACAGACTGTTGCTTGCAAAACAAATCAAGGGGACAAGTGCTTATTTACCTGTTTACCAACTGAGCTAGTCAGCAGCAAGGAGTCTCAAGCTACTGCCATATTTACAAACACAGAAAATGGTGAGGTTCAAAACCATTCTGGCAAAACTTAGCATTATCTATACATAAACAAGCTGCATATGGCATTAACTTTGCAAGTAATATTCACCACGGTAGAACCAACATGCTCTAAGGTTTTTTCCATTGATATTCAGATTGCTGCTTCTGGGGTTGCTTCATGTAAAATACCTATTCTTTATCTTATTCCTCTCATTGCTGGCCTTTCAAGTTTCTTCCTGCAAATGTTACAGCTTTTGAAACCATCTGAAAGAAGATTCTGGCATACAAGTCCAAACTTTGACAATCATGGAGTGCAAAACTGTCTCCTCATTATACTATTTACATTACCTTCCCCATAAACCCCATACAGTCACTACAGCATTAAACTGATCTCCACAGACACTGGAGTAGCAAAAACAACTCCAAACCCCTTACTTAAAGATAAACATTCCTGTAAATTCCAGTTAGGTATCCCTTTTGCATTCAGTTTGACCAGGAAGTACAAAAATTAATTCTGCTGTGCTAATTTTTAACTCGCAACAGAAACATCTGGATCATTTAACCAGGAAATATCTTCAGTTTATAGCTCAGAATTTATGCCTCAGACATTAACCTTAATTAGCCATCGCTGTCAAAATCAAATCAGCACACTGCTGCCCTGAAGTTATTCTGTTTAGACCCAAGGTTTTTTATTGCCTGTCATCCCAGCAGGTGGCAGGACCAGGTACCTTAGAACATGACACTCAAGATGCCATTACCTGACCAAGAATCCATAAAAATTTGTGATGAGCAATGTGTACAAAATCGACTAGAACAAAGAAACAGAAGTTGTTACCTACAGTGCACCAAAAGTTCATTTTAGTTTGCTCCAATTAAAAAAAAAAAAAAAAAAAAAAAAAGAAAGAAAGAATTTCAGGAAGTTAGCTAATTGCATTCAGTGGCTGATTTTCTACGGCACTCGGAGTGTTACGAGGATTTTCAGGGCATCCAGCAATGTTTTGTTTTCGCTTGTGACAGAGTTCATAGAGATCTCTACCAAATTCAGCTGCAAATGCAGAAGTTGCAAAAAATCCAAATACCTGTGAAAAGGACAGAAATATGTGATTTCAAAATGCATAAACAGCAATAGTATTTATTCTAACACTGTTTGGAAAGATTCACTGTACCACTGTATATACATTATTCACTGAACCACTGTATATACATTAATAATGCTTGTAATATTAAGATTACAGTCCTCCTTAAATCAATAGTTCCATTTAAATTAGACACAGATCAGAAATCATAATTCTAGCACATTCATTGTGTTAGTTTTTAGTTTTCATTCTTTTAATCAAGTGTGAACCTTATACTGTGTTCTAATCAACGTTTAATTGCAAAAGTATACTAGTTGCATTGCCAAAATCAGTTATTAAAGTAGCATAGCATATAGCAGATTATTTATCCAAGAGAGGGCTGCTAATTGATGAGAATAAATGAAGAAGAATAACACACAGCAGGTGAAGGAAGAGAAGATCTGCAGAGCCTGGGCCAGCAAGGGAGACTGAAAGGACATTTTGTGAATGACACTTTGTTACCTGTCACGGCTAGATAAAAAGGGGGAAAAGAGGAGAAGGCAGCTTTTTGTCAAAGGAAAGAACCACATGCATTATTCTAACTTTACCTAAATTTTGCACAACTGGTTTGGACCAAAGTAATTTGACATTAAGTATTTGACATTTTAAGTATTCAATCACAGTAGTTTTTATTTTTTCTGTACCAGAAAAAAAAAAGCAAAGCTGACACCTGATTTGTGCTCAAACTATTAGGTCTAAATAGATCTACATCACTTAAGATGACATACAGAAGTGTGTATCTCTAATAGCTGATGCTGCCGTGGAACAGAATTATCTTGCTTTCTTTTCCAAATCATTTTTTCTCATTCAAGAATTTGATCTTTTAAACTCACATGTTCACAATTCCAAGGTTACTCAAAAGAAGTATTCAAATGACTAGGGAATTATGACATCTACAGCATCCCAAAAGCCCCTTTAGTGCCTTGCCCTGAGCATCCTGAGTGTTCCCTAGGAGATGAATGCCCTGTTGCTCTACTGTTTCTGTCACTGAGGAATCCGCTGCCCTTATTGCAATTGTGCAAGTCAGTGTTGCCCACTAGTGCTCTGTAAAAGCAAAAGACAGGATTTCTTGATGACTTTGTGAGGAGGTAACATTATGAAAGGACAACTGAGGGAAAACAGAAATTTCAGAAGTATTGTGTCACAGAACTGGGCAAGCTTCAAGAGATGACAGTGTTGAACGGCAAGAGATGACAGGAAATAATACAAATCTGAGGCAGCAGGCAAAAGATGGGGAGCTACAAGGGCACACAGAGCTTTCCAGGAACCTCGAGGAATGCCAGCTCTTTGGATTTCCTATGGTAAGTTTCTGGAAGATCTGAAATAGGTAATTCCTCCTGAAACATCACAATGCACTGAGCTCTATTCCCTGCCCTGTTTCTTCTCTGCAAATTGAGTGAAGTTTAGAGGGCAGAGAAAATGACATACCAGATAAATACAAAGTAAATCTTGCCATTTTAAGACTTACACATGCAGCACTTTCAGCAGCAGAGTCAGAGCAGGTTGCAGAAAACACTATTGATGCTAACAGAAACCAGGCACCTATGACCGGCACAGCCCAAAAATTCTGCAAATATATATAAAAATATATATATAATTTAACTGTAGATAGATTACCTAAAAAGAACAAACATCATAACAACAGCAGAGTTAACCTGTCTGTGAATTTGTTTTGATACTTTGATGCTAGTGGAAGCTTCAGAAAATACACTTTACAGCTAAATTCCAAATGACATTCAACATTATCAGTTATTTAAATAGCTTTATCAGCTACTTAAAGGAGTCTGCCCTTTTTTTGTATTTTTTAAGTATTTAGTTAATTTCATCTAACCTTTTTTCACCATCAAATTCAAGCTCAGGACAACCATGGTAGCTTTATCCCTTATGTAAAACATTTAAGAAATCAGAAAAGTGTCAGTAAATGTGCTCATTCAAACCTTTTACTACGCTCCGTTATCTGTACCCTCACATAAAGACGCTACTGTTTGCTCTGAAGCACACAGGAAGGGACACTTGTGAGATGGAATAATGTTCCTACTGACTTTACAGAGCAACCTTCTCCCACTGCTGGTTCTTCTCAAGTATAAAGCCATAAACTGTAACGAGCTGATTATTGCCAAAAAGGAGGTAGTCTACACCCAGCAGGAAAACAGATAGGGTAAACTTTTTTGATTCTTTTTTTTTTAATTGCAAGCATCATGCTGGTGGTAAACTATTCCATATGCATACAGATCTGTGATGGCTGTGCTGTAGTATTAGTAGCATTAATGTGGAAAAATTTTTCCACACAAGTCCTAAAATCCTGCAGGTAGCCAGCTTTGACAAATATGTCAATATAAACTCTCCAAGTTGGCTCATTTTTAAACTATAAGATACTTTGATTTATCCTTTACATGGAGAAGAAAAGGAGAATCATTTTGCATATGCTTTTTACTCCACAGCAGACTTTATGCACTTAGAAAAAATTATTTGTTTTCCAAAAAAAAAAAAGTTTTCTTACCAGTTTCTTCACTTTATCTTCCCCCAGTGATTCATAAAAATCAGTGCAATACACATACAGAATCAGGAGGCTCAAAAGAAAGGCACTGCAGCTTGTGAATTCAAAGAAGTAAAGTCCACTACAAGTGATGCATTCATCCACAACTTCTTCACAAACAACAGCCACAAAAGAGAAAATCTGCAAACAAATAACATGCTTGAGTTGGATCAAGTCTCTAACATCTTCAACAAACAGGCATCTCTGATACAAAGATTAATAAAGCTAGCTGTGACAAAAATGCTCAATCTACAAAGAGTTTGGTGAAGTTCTGCACTATTTTCTTACAGAAATAATTACGCAATGACATGGTTTACACGTGGCTGTTAAAAGTGGTCCATAAAGTACACTCAGGTAAGCTGAGCACACAGCCAAACAGAGGCTTCTTGACTGGACAGACAATATTCCTGCGGTTTTGTGCAACTGCCACTTTGAAGCAGACGAGGCAGCATGGAGAGCACATCCTGCAAAATGCTGCCGCTTACTACATACAGCTGCACTCAGTTCTGAATGTATTTGGGTTCAGAGCAGTGGGGGAAACTGGACAGCCCTGACACACTCAGCTACCTCCCCAAAAGTTCACTCACAGCTGATGTCACCTCACTTGATAAAACTTCAGAGAAAGTCCATGAACCCAACACTCACATGCCTGTGACCCAGTAATGCCAGAAGCCCAACTGCTCTTGTAGGAACCGAAACCTTACACTGTGTTCAAGCATGTTGGACAATGTTTAATCTACGCAGAGGTTCACCTTCCTGCTCTGAGAAAAGAACATGACTTACTTCCTATACAGTCGCCATATCCCTGCTGCTGGATTTTCTACTATTTTATTGTACAAGAAAGAATATTGCTTTATTAAACTCTTGCTTATTTTGGCCAATTCTTGCTAGTTTCCTTCATCCCATAAACTTGGCATAGCTTTACAGATCTTTGTAGTAAGGAGTTCACCAAATTAAAATGAAACCATGAGAAGGAATCAGACTGGGTCATAATATTGAGACTGATATGAGAATGATAATCATATTTTTAATAACAGTATGTGGGCAATAAAGAGCTTGACAGTTCTTTGTTTAAAAAAAAAAAATCTAAATTTAAGATTCAGAATTGTTCTTGGAAAATAACCACCAGTCTTTGGTATCAGTTTTCTCACAGTAAAAACAAGAACAACGATTTAGCAGCAGGAAGTGTAAATTCCCCTTACTAAGCCAGGTCTCAGAAGAGCACTTCAGAGAACCACGTTTTGAAAATGCAACAGTGGAAAGTAAACAGGAGCTCAGAAAGGGAAAGAATGGGAACTGGGAAACATCAATATTAATATCAGGCCTCCTCATGCTTCCTTTCTCTCCCACAGTGGCTGGCAACACAAACTTCTCAGCAGCCCTTGCACCAGTGAACTATAATGTCAGTCCAGGAATGTTTCAAACTCTGACTTTCCAGTTTTTTATGGTTTGGGTGTTTTGGTTTTGTTTTTTTTTTTTTTTTTTTTTTTTTTTTGGTTTTTTTTTTTTTTTTTTTTTTGGGTTTTTTTTTTTGTTTTTTTTTTTTTTTTTTTGTTTTGTTTTTTGTTTTTTTTGGGGTTTTTTTTTGTTTTTTTTTTTTTGTTTTTTGGGGTTTTTTTTGTTTTTTTTTGTTTTTTTGTTTGTTTTTTTTTTTGCATTTCTAAACATGGGCTTATAGCTGCATCCAATGACTTTCAATTTCACATTTTTCACAAGGTCAGCTGTGAGATAGCACTGAACATGAAAACTTATCTCTTTTTATAAGCACTGGAAATGGAAAGTCATCGTTTTCACTTGGGCCAAAACAGAGCAGAAAGAAAATAAACCTGTCCTTAAAAGAAAGTACATGTCCAGCTAACCATAATATGATCTAAATAGCTGAAAAAAGCTTCTCCACTGAGTGTACAAGTTGAAAAAATCCCACTCAAAGAGCAGTTATAAAGGGCTCAGTGTCAAATAACTGAGATTTACCAAGTACAATCTTGTGTGGGACTTCTCCAAGTCGATATTCTTTTTTTTTTTATTAATAAGCTGAGTAATAAAATAGAGTACATCAATTTTTAAAAAGTTGGCTTGAAGAACTTTGAGTAAGTGCTTTGATTAAGTGAATGTATCAGCAGCACATTTATAAGGTGCCAGAGAGCTCTGCTTGGATTTCTTAACTTGCTCTTTAATATCACTTTCAGGAAAAAAAATTCCTCTGTTGTCCTACTGACACCAAAAAATAAGTTTTCAACACCAAAAGCATTGTTGGAGAAGCAGGTGTTTTGAATTTTTTAAATTTTGTTATTAGTCCTGTCTGTATGTACACCAGAAATTAAACATCTTCGTCTGTCTTTTACCAGCAGAAAATTATTCATTGATACTGACATTACTGCTGGAAGTTTCTAAACAAATGTCAATTTTATAAAGAAGATTTAACAAGTGAATTGCTATAAAAATAGAGCAGGTCAATGAACTTGCCAACAATCCTGTGAAGATCTCGGCATCTGGGAGGTACTGGGATTCCCCGTACAAAATCCTCTAGTTCGGGTGGGTGCACGTATTAATTCTCTATTAAGTTTGCACAATTCGGGCTACTACAGGACATTAACAGCTCAAAAATGAGCTGATTTTTAAGCCTGAATTACAATTTTCCTTTCCAGCTAGGGCATTTTGACTCAAGTTAAACAAGAGTTGATGACAACTTGTCCTGCTTTAGGTAAGAATTAGTTTCTACATCAATCTTGGCACAATACACATTGTGCCATTTACCTTTGTGCTGAATTTGAACCAGTCATGGACTAACAAAAACATTCCACCTATTAAAAAAAAAAACCAAAACCATCCACAAACAAAACAACATATCCTAGAAACCTGTGCAATAACATGCCTCCCAGCATCCTTTTGGCACTCACATTTGTGACTTTTAGCAGTGACATTTTCCTTGTTTAATCTCCTCAAAAGAACTGGCTACGGTTACAGAGCATGCCATTATTCATCTGAAGAAAAGTATTTCTTAGGTCTAGAAGCCAGTTTTCTGCAGGTGGTTTCAGAGTGTTTTATAAAGCTCTTGAGCACCCCTACACTGAACAGAGCCCACTTTCTGATTGCAACACCCTGTTTAGCAGTCCACACAAGCAAGGGCATAATCCCAGTAACAACCACTGTTGTAACACAAAGCCAAAAGTCAATGACCATGACTGAGATTTCCAAAAATCAACCCTTTCCCAGAATAGGAACCTTCTACTGTAGAGATGGAGGCTTCCACCTTCAGGACTTTCCAGGGTTTGTTTAAAGTGTTTTGACCCAGACCTCAAGATCCCTGCATTTTGATAAAGGTTGCAAAACAGAACGGAAAAAATATTAGAAATTAGGAGGGTGAACAACTCTAAGTCCATTTTCTTTTTCCTCTCACTAACGGGCTCAAGCCATAAACTATTACTTATTTAAGAACATGTCAAGCAGCTATTCATCCTATCTAAGAAAATGATAAATTTTCTTTTTTTCTACTTAGAAAGTATTTAAAATAATTAAACAGTTTAAGGCTTTGGTACATCAGTAGATTTGCCTTCATAATCACTTATTTTAGTCAATTAACCTTTTTATATAAACGTTCTGCTTGTCAGGGAGCCAAACCCAGCAGATCTTGCTTTAATAATCTCCAGTAGATAAATTAAAAGTTTATGTTCCATTATATTCATTTAAAGCATTCTTTGGTGTGGTTTTTTTAAAACACTCTTAGAAACCTTTATTTTTGGCAGTGTTACCACTTTATGAACACTAAAGAATACTACATTTCTGGTTGAGGGTTTTGACTGTGTGTGAGATGAAGCTTAAAACCCAAATGTCCTCTTTTTGCAATGGTGAAATAACGAGAAAGGGCTGGAAATCACCTAAATTCCTGTGAGCATGACACATCTGACTAAAAAGCCACTGTGCTGGCTGCAAGATGCAGGCTGACACGCATTTGCAGTCAGCTGCCCTTTACCACCACGGGTTTCACTCATTCCCTGCTAGTACGTAAGAGTGATGCTCCTCACATCCTTATCAGCAGTCGCACTGGGACATTTTGGAAGAGCCCATCACCAAACACTGAACAGGACCTTGCCCATCAAGGAGCCCAGCTGCTTGATTCAGGAGCAACAAATTGTATAAAAGGCAGAAAATAAGCCTTTTATTTCCTGGCGAGCCCAGGGCTGCCTGGCATGAAGTGATCTCTCATGCAATGGGCCACCATGATTACGGGTTTCTGGTGCAATTTTCTACCACAAATCATGGGAGAAACAGGCTCCTTAATTTTAGTATGGACAGCACAGATTGACAGGCTTGGAACAGGCCGCAGGAGCAGCAAGAGAGGAAGGTCTGGAGCTCATGACCCAGCAATGCCCTTCCCAGTTCTACTGCCCTATGGTGAGGGTTCAACCAAAGGCTTCTTCCTCCTGCTTTCATCCAATCCGGCCCTCAGAAGAAAGCGCTACATTTCCTGCAAGGCTTCCCTCTGGTTCTGAGCCAGGGCGGGCGGTGTTTAAGGCCAGCAGGCAGCTGGACCACGGCGGCTGCAGCACCGAGCCCCGGCCGCACGGCACCGTCCGGTGGCAGCACCTACTGCTGCAGCTCGGACAGGAAGAAGGAACACTCCCACCACTTCCCCACCATAAATCACTTTGAACCTGCATTATAAGGCACCACGCCAGCTTTCCACCTGAGTTACAGGTCTGCACAACTTTAGTGACCCCATGCCACGTCCCAAGTCAGGACACCTTCCCGGCGGAGCCAGACCTTTCCGACAGGCAGAATCCACTCCCTCGAAGCCTGTGTGCGGCCATCTCCCCAGCCTGCGCTGGATCACCGAGAAGTTTAATTTTTAAGCGGCAGGAAACCGTCCTAAAGCCGAAGGTCACGACAACACGCTCGTTTCCATCCCAGAGCGGGGCACCCCCGCCCCACTGGGCTCAGCCCCGGGACATTGTAAGTCTCTTCCCGGCCCGGGGCAGCCATCCTGCCAGGGGTGCTCCCTCCGGGCCAGGCCCGGCACGTCCCGCACGGCGAGGGGAGGCACTCACCGTCTGGGCCACCTTGACTGGCAGCCGCCATCCCCGCAGGCGCCGCAGGGTGCAGCCCAGGGGGCGGCGGCGGGGCCCCTTCGCCTGGGGTTCCGTGGTCTCGTTGTAGACGGCGCCGTTCTCCATGCCCGGGCCGGGCCGCCGGCTCCCAGCTGGAAAAAAACGAAAGCAAAAGGGAGGCGGGCAGGGCGTCTTCGCCTCCCGTTCCGCGGTCTGCTTGTAGGCGGAGCCGCTCTCCCTGGCGGGGCCGGGCCGCCGGCTCCCAGCTGGAAAGCACCTCAAGAAAAAGTGCGGCAGGTAGCGGGACGCCTGCGGTTCCGTGGTCTGGTTGTAGGCGGCGCGGTTCTGCCTGGCCGGGCTGGGCTGCCGGCTCCCAGCTGGACAACACCTCAAGAAAAAGGGCGGCAGGCGGCGGGACGCCTCCGGTTCTCTGGTCTGGTTGTAGGCGGTGCGGTTCTGCCTGGCCGGGCTGGGCTGCCGGCTCCCAGCTGGACAACACCTCAAGAAAAAGGGCGGCAGGCGGCGGGACGCCTCCGGTTCTCTGGTCTGGTTGTAGGCGGTGCGGTTCTCCATGGCCGGTGCGGACCGCCGGCTGCCATCTGGGAAGAACCGCGACAAAAAGGACGGCAGGCGGCGGGACGCCTCCGGTTCTCTGGTCTGGTTGTAGGCGGTGCGGTTCTCCATGGCCGGTGCGGACCGCCGGCTGCCATCTGGGAAGAACCGCGACAAAAAGGACGGCAGGCGGCGGGACGCCTCCGGTTCCCTGGTCTGGTTGTAGACGGTGCCCATGGCCGGGCAGCCGGCTGTCAGCTGGGAAAAACCGAAAGCAACAGGGCGGCGGGCGGGACGGGAGCGGGAAGGGCGAGAGGCCCCGGGGAGCCCCGGGGGCCCCGGGGGCGGCCGTTGCACCGGCCGTTGGTCCCGGTGGGACGAAGGCGCTGCCGGCGGCGCGCCCCAGCGCTCCCCCTGGCGGCCGCGGGCGGGAGCGTGAGGGACGGCCCGGACCGCGGGGCCGCTTCAGGCCCGCTCTGGGCTCAGTTCGCCGACCGGGGCTTGGTAAGTAAAATTTGCACGAGTATTCACTTGTCACACGAGATTACGGTATTAAATTTGGGTTTTAAGCCAAAGCTTTCCCTGGTTACATTCACATAATCAATTAGGTTAGAAAAACCCTCTGAGATCATGGAGTCCAGCCTATGACCGAACCCCAGCACTGTGTCACCAGACCATGGCACTGAGTGCCACGTCCAGTCTTGCCTTAAATCCCTCCAGGGACAGTGACTCCGTCACCTCCTTGAGCAGCCCATTCCAGTGTCTAATCACTTTTTCTGTGAAGAAATTCCTCCTAATGCCCAACCTAAACCTCCTCTGGGTGCTGCTTGAGGCCATGTCCTCTTGTCCTGTCATGAGTTGTTTGAGAGAAGATCCCGATCCCCATCTTGCTACAACCTCCTTTCAGGCAGTTCTAGATATCAGTAAGGTCCCCCCGAACCTCCTTTTTTCCAGGCTAAACACCCCCAGCTCCCTCAGCTCCTCCTCACAGGACTCGTGCACCAGAACTTTCACCAGCTCAGCTGCCCTTCCCTGGCCACGCTCCAGCGCCTCAATGTCCTTCCTGAATTGAGAGGCCCAGAACTGGACAGAGCACTCAAGGTGTGGCCTCACCAGTGCCGAGTACAGGAGAAGAGTCATTGTCTTTGAAGACATTCCTTGTTGTCAATGAGAGAAAACATTCATATCACCAAGCTCCTTCTAAAATACTCCCATACCTTTGCCCAGGTCAGCTTTTCAAAGTAACTATAGTTTTTGTTGCCTACTAAGAGTAGATTGAACCTTTTATGTGTAAGCAAAGGTGTGTTATGTTTGCTTCTATATTATTGATGCATTACCCACAGAGCTATTATGGTCCTTTGTAGTCAAGCTCAATTATACTTGTTTAAATTCAAAGAAATGGAAGATTGCTACAGGCTGAAAAAGAGGAGATTTGCTTGCTTAACGTTAGCTGTATAGGAACAGATTCCCTGCTTAGGGAACAAGTCAGGCTGTTTGGACACTGCTTCTCTTTGGGAACCACGCAGTGCAGTGGGAACGTGCTACAGAGCCCCATGAGGCTGGGATGCTTTGAGCTCTGCCAGGACACCCCCGTAACCAGGCAGATGCAGAAGTATGGGCCAGACCAAAGCAGCTGGGCCGTGCTCCCTGCTGAGTGTGTACCAGCAGGCCGTGTGCTTCTCCCAGGAAGGAAACACAATCCAGGGCAATACAGTGTCCCTAGGCAGGATCACACAGACCTGTCACTGTCAAAAACAATGTTTGGCTGCAGGAATTGGCTTGGGAGGCAAATTCGTCACGAGGAGAGTAGGGCAAGTCCTGTGATTCCCGAGGCGTGGGCGTTTCCGCTAAAACAAGTGAGGTATCACCATGGGTGTGCCCCAGCTTCTGCCTGGGATTGGGGTGAGTGTAACATGGCTCTGCTGGCAGCAGCCCAGAACACAGGACTGAGCAGGTAGGTGTAGTCAGGAACATTTGGTGTTATCACTTATAAGTTCCCAGTACCTTCACTACCTTTTTTCACACTAGTACATTATAAATTAGATTACATTACAGAAGCTGGCATCTCTCTTCTGAAGGAAATTTCCTTCTTGTTTTCTTTTCTTCCTCGATAATATTTCACAACTGGATGAATAACTCCAAAGCTACAAAGCATATGTCTAGGCTATACTGTGGTCTGACAGAGACAGGACTTTAATGAGACCGAAGCAGCTGTCAGGTCTTCTAAGATGTTCAGTAGCATCCAAGGCTATTTTGTAGCCCTTCCCTTCTGAGTCTTTAAAATGTCTTCATGCAGCATTTCTAGATTATGAATACAGATGTTAGTACTGAAGACAACTGTCTTGAGGACAGACTGCTTTTCAAGGAGACACAGAAACACAAAACAAGACGACAAAAGATAAAATAGAAGGTGACCTCTTTCCAGTTTCTACTGTCTTTAATTAAGCTGGTTTTCCCATTCAGGCCCTCTCAGGAAATACATGTCAACGATGCATGAATGATAAAGGTTAGCTTGCCATTTAAAGCCTAACTTATTGAGGCCAATTTACTTTTATTTTGTTTTATAAGAGGTTAAGGAAAAGTGAAACTACAGCAAAGCTAGGGAACTGTAAGGTCATGTGACAGAGAAGGAATGAAAACTGGACAACAGCATAGGAGTTGATATCTTGAAAATACTTAAAGCATTACATCACACTCACTTTCCAGTACAGTATTTTTCCTTTAAAGAGGGAATTAAAACAACAGTTACTGTAAGTAACAATAGGGTTTAATGCAAATAACAGTAACTGGCTGACTGTGATGTGATGGAAATCCCACTCCAGGTATACACCTATTAATTTCCTTTTGGTTATGTGCTACACCTGACAGTTTTCCAGAAAAAGAAGTCTTTCTTACCCTGCCACAGCCTCTGCTGGACTGGGAGGAGCAGAGCTAAAGGCAGGACATGGTGGCAGAGAAGCAACCCCACAGTTAGATGCTGAGCTGTGGTAACATCTCCAGTCAGCCAGGCACAGACAGGGACATCAGTGGAAGCAGATTAGTGAAGAGTGACCTGGTTTTCTCCCTCATTACATCTCCTCCAAGACACCCTGCATAGTGACCAAAAAGCAATACCAACGGAGAAAGCCCCCTGACTAGAGGAGATGGCAGTGTACACAGCAGAGCTGTATGACAGTTGCCACCTCTTGCCCCCATGTTGAAATAATTTCCCAAACTGTGACTGGAGTTTCTTGAAGCAGTTGAGTAAATGCCAGCTACTGCAATAAGGGGGCTTGAGGCCACAGCTGCATTGCTGTTTTCATCAAGTGAGTCCCAGTGGCTCTTTGGCACGCTCTGTGTGCTGTGTTACAATGCAACACTAAAGCCTGAGTCCCTTGCACTCAGAATTGGCAGCACTGGCCTCACAAATTCATGTTCTCCTTTTCTCATTTTCATAAATGCAGTTATGGGGTTTTTTGCTTTTCTTGCCAGAAGGAAGTAGAGAAATGGGAAAGCAGCTTGGAAGCCCAAACCACTGAAAGAGACAGACTTAGTTTCTTTGGAAGAGTGATGAGGAAGAGGAAGAAGTGTACGTTACTGCAAAATTCAGGGAGCTCCATTGGAGACAGCCTGTCTGAGGCACATCTCCATCCTTCATTTTGATGTTCCCACATGGGCATCTTGACATATTCTGTTCAAGATTATCCCCATGCATTACATGAAGTAAATACAGGATGATTAGCTAGCAAATGGGTACTGCAACAATGAGCTCAGAGAAGACTTGAATGTGTTGCATCTGCTGAACTTTCTTTAGCTCTTGAGGCTCTATTTTTGTGCTCAGTATTGCAACTGAACTTCACAAACCGTGACACCACCTAAATAGGCTCGAATGTGTGACTTTTAAACAGCTGAAGATGAAGAATTAGCATTTTAACAGCTATTGCTAAGTATCCCTTATGGCACAAGAGATTAAATCCTCAATCCTCAATCCTCAACTTTCCAAATGCAAGCTTAGGCTAACTCTTCTCAGTGGTTTTCTGCATGCATCTGCATGGCACAGAGAAGAATTAAGTTATGAGGTACTTGATAGGCAACAGTTCTGCTGCTGCAGGTGTCCCACTGCAAACTGTTTGCTCCCCAAGAAGAGACTGCAGCCCAACAGGCAGCAATTCTTGCATTTCAGAAGCATCACTAGAATTTTAAGGTTAATATAGTAGCTAGTCCATAAAACCTAAAAGCCGTGTGCACATTCCAGAGATTGTACTTTTCAGCTGAAAAATATGACCTGCCTGGAAATAAAGTGGACATTTACTCAAAAATTTTAAGCTTAAAATTTGCAGAGCAGCTTTATTAGAACCAGTAAAGTCAAAAGAACTGACGTGGGAACAGGATAGAGAAGGAGGAAGAGAAGATTTACAAAATTCCCCTGAAACCTTTTTGTTTCAGTCTAATCAGCAACTTGTCTTCATTGAACTAGCCCTGAAAGTTTAAAGGAATTTAGTTGATTTATATTGTAGCATTTTTTCAGTGTTCATACTGAAAAGCATTTAAAAAGTATTATTAAGATTATGCCCTGTAGTTCTTGTATCATCTCCTTGCTTTCTGCATCTTATGTGCTAGTCTGAAACTTTGCACTCAACAGCACTAAAGGCACAGAAGAGTGATTGAGAGCAAAATTAATATAATTCGTAATGTCACTCTTAAAAATTGGGGTAATCCCAAACCTAGCCCCTCCCCAGCCTAGAGCAAGAAAGTATTCTTGCCAAATTAGCTTCAGTGTTTTCACCCAATTTATTTAGTTTGGTGCTTCACTTGATGGTGAAAGGAGGAGAACAGGGAGCAGGGTTTACTGGCACTACCTTTTGTGAAAAGGGCCCTCAGTCACAGAGACTGTGTTTTGCATTATAGTTGTGGTAAATCCCATCTTAATTGTGTACTCTCACTTAGGCAGGAGTTGGGGGAACTGCAGCTCAAGAGGACAAAGCAACCAGCCCAGGAGCCTTGGTCTCATCAGAGGGAAACAACAAGCCAAAGACATCAGGTTACACAGAAATATTCTCAGGTATTTTCCTTTCGTGGTAAATTTTCCCCCCAGACAGCATGAGCTGGCTGCAGATAGGAAGTGACAGTAGCATTAAGAGAATTTGAAGGAGGTAAGCAGGCTACTTTAGTCTTTTAGAATGAAAAGGCATAGTAGGGGACAGTCTTTGTGCAAATAAGAATTTAAAAATCAAAACAACCAAAAAACTCCAAAGCTATGGGGGGGCTTAGGGAAAAACACATTAAGAAGCTTCAAATACACAGAAGTGACATCTGTTTTAAGAAGTGAAATTATAATGAGTCATTTGTAAGGTTTTCCCCTGTCCCAGCCTACCCCAA